TGAATAGGATTGGATAGAGCCACAAGAAACGTTTTTACAGTCAGAGCTTCCTCATTGGTTGCAGGACCCAAAGGTTAAACCAAATTCTTCCTTTTTTTTTCCAAGGCTGGTGTCTCTGGGTCTGGAATTAATTGTAGCTATAGCTGTCTACTCTAGTTGCTGAGAGGGAGGTTGTTGTTTATTTTGAAGGGGACATGAAGTAGTTGATTCATTTTCTCCCCTGGCTTCTTCTTTGATTATATTTATATATATAGATGTATATATTTATACAACCTATAATTAACACCAATATTATGTGCGTTTTGTTTTTTGCTACATGACTTGCAAGTGTTTGGATACCTTGTTGCTAAAGAGCCCTCTACTCGCTACGGCTGCTGTTCCTTCTGCTGCAACTTAACTTGCGAGATCAACATCCTTGTGATATGTTGGACATGGGGGAGAGGAAAGAAGTTAAAATGATCCCCAAGTCGTCTTTCAGTATCAACAGCCTGGTTCCTGAAGCAGTGCAGAACGACAACAACCACTCTCAGCCACACCACCACCATCACCACCACCACCAGATCACCCAGCAAACGCACCATGTCCAGTCACACCACAGACCCTTGCAGGAAGAAGATGAGCTGGACAAGAGTCTACTGGAGGTCAAGACTGAAAGTCTACCATCTGGTAAGGTGGACTCAGCTTCCTCTGAGCTCCCGGGGGCCGAGGACAAGGAAAAGACTGAAGAGAAGAAGGTGGACGGTGGTGGTAAGGATGGGGAGAGTGGCAAAGAAGGGGAGAAGAAAAATGGCAAATATGAGAAGCCCCCCTTCTCCTACAACGCTTTGATCATGATGGCCATACGCCAGAGTCCAGAGAAGCGTCTAACTCTAAATGGAATCTATGAATTCATCATGAAGAACTTTCCGTACTACAGGGAGAACAAACAGGGCTGGCAAAACTCCATCAGGCATAACCTCAGCCTGAACAAGTGCTTTGTCAAGGTTCCTAGACATTATGATGATCCGGGAAAAGGGAACTACTGGATGTTGGACCCTAGCAGTGATGATGTTTTCATTGGTGGGACCACTGGAAAGCTCCGCAGGAGATCCACCACCTCTAGGGCTAAACTAGCATTTAAGAGAGGGGCGAGGCTCACCTCCACAGGACTGACTTTTATGGATAGAGCTGGCTCCTTGTACTGGCCTATGTCCCCTTTCCTTTCATTGCATCACCCAAGGGCCAGCAGCACTTTGAGCTACAACGGGACAACATCAGGCTACCCAAGCCACCCCATGCCCTACAGTTCTGTGTTGACTCAAAACTCATTGGGGAGCAACCACTCTTTTTCAACGTCCAATGGCTTGAGTGTAGATAGACTTGTCAATGGGGAGATACCTTATGCCACCCATCACCTCACAGCAGCTGCCCTGGCTGCCTCAGTGCCATGTGGGTTACCTGTACCCTGTTCTGGTACATACTCTTTAAACCCTTGCTCTGTGAATCTTCTAGCTGGACAAACAGGATATTTCTTCCCCCATGTACCCCACCCCTCCTTAACTTCACAAAGCAGCACTTCAATGACAGCCAGAGCAGCCTCCTCTTCCTCCTCACCCCAAGCTCCTTCCACCCTGCCCTGTGAGTCCCTCAGACCATCTTTGCCAAGTTTTACAACAGGACTTTCTGGTGGACTTTCTGATTATTTTACACATCAAAATCAGGGCTCTTCATCCAACTCTTTGATACATTAACAAAACATCCCACGGGAGCAGACTGTAAGTGAACATTTTAAACACATTTCAATTGTACATGAAAATTGAAAGGAACAAAAAAAAAAAACAAACAAACAAAAAAAAAAAAACAAAAAAAAAGCAAGCGAAAAAAAAAGACAAGTCCAGGTATTTTTTATGAAGTCCCCTTATTTTGTGTACGTCTGTTCAGTCTCTAGGGTTCTATATTATTAAGGTGAGGCGTGATGTCAATAGCAGAAAGGTAATGGAGAGAACACATGATGCCCTCTGATAGAATGTGTAACTGATTCTGTAACAGTGACTGCTATAAAAAAAATGTTTTATTCAGTACAGTTGTATCACTCATAGTCCCCATATATCCATGTCTCCAGTATTATAACTTTTCATGGATAATGGATCTAGTTATAAAAAAAAAACACAAACAAAACTGCAAAGATACTAAAATGATAAACTCAATACAAAGTAATAATGTTGCAACTGTCAATTTGTATTTAACCGTTATTAAAGTACACCCTGCACAGTTATTAATTATATTCTGGCAATTTATTATATTATCATTTCATCTTATGAAAGAGCTGAGTTTTCTGTTTACTTTTAGACCAAAGATTGGGATGTAGAAAAAGCAGTCAGTGTACTGATTAATTAAAATAAACAGAAATAAAATAAAAATACAAAATAAATCTCATATCAACTGCAGTACTGTCTATTTGCAAAGAATTTCAGGGGGACAAATGAATACTGCCTTCAGTTTGTGTTGTGTATATTTTGGTGTATGTACTCACTAACCGGTCGGTCACATTTTTTATTTTATTTTTTTTTAATTATTTTATTTTTTATTTTTATTTTATTTTTATGTAGTGAAACGTTATACCGATTGTACTACTAGGTAATCCTTGCAAAATATGTATAACCCGTGTTGAGTAAAAATGCATAAATTTGAGTGATTGTTATCGTTGTCTTTAACTTTCTTGATTGTGATAATGTGGTCATATGCCCGTGTTTGTCACTTATACAATTGTTTACTATGAAGACACAGAAATAAAAAAAATAGGCCAAATTCATATAGAAAATAGTTTTGTCTTTCTTTTTTATTAACCCTTGCTGAGTATATATGCACAGTCATATATAAATATTTTGTGATGTATGTGTCAGTGTATGTATGTATACACATATATATATATAAATATTTTAAATATATATATAAATATATTACATACACGTACTCTCTTTATATACAGATACTAATTTACTATTCTATTGCAGGAAACACAAGTACACAATGTTTTTTGTTTTTTTTTAATGTTAACAGATTTATTTTAAATCTCTTATAGGATGTTCATAATTTGGTGTGTGGCTGAATTTACTTATTTATTGCTTAACACCAATGGCAAAGTGGTTATAGTGAAGCACTGATTTACAATTTATTTTGCTTATAATATCAAGGACTTGCTCTTTCTCCTAAAATTTTAATTTACTGATTTACTAAGCCTTGTTATGTTCTAATATATGTATTTAAATATATTAGAACATATAAATATATGTAAAAAAAAATATATGGCGTGCATACGTCTTCTGTGGGGACATATATTATATATATATATATATATATATATATATATATATATATACACATTAATATATTGACTAATTTTATTTTTAACTTAATCCAAAATATAATATAATTTTATTTTTTTGCATGGGCAGAGCTTAAAAAAAATATATATTTATATAATTATGCAATAATTTAAACACACGAGGTTTGTGTATGTGTGTTAAATATATTTAAAAAAAACATTTTGTGAAACATCACAAACTACAGCCTTGAAAAAAAAAAAAAACAAAGAAAAAAACGCAAGAAAAAAGATTTTGCAACTAATTGGAGCCTGCAGGGAGTTTCTACCTTACAAATGACTCATTTGTCACTGTTGTATGAAATTTGCTTGCAATGATGTAGTGGGCTAGCTCTCTCTCAATAGGCCCTAATGAAAAATAAACTCTGTAGAGGACATACAATCTCAATGAAAGTCCTTTAGTATCCTGTGTTCATCAACTTTATCCAATCAGGCAAATCCTAAAATAAGACTTAATAGTATAGAAACGCATAAGGTTTTGGGCTGTTTAAGGATTTTTTTAACCCCATATAAGATTTTTGAGTCTCAGACTTAAAGAATTTGGTCTTTTTTTGTCCAGCAATGAAAGGGTTGGAAAAGTTGAGAAATCTCCCAAAATCTGCATCAAAGGATAAGCTGGTATATCTGTCAGATCTAAGGATTACCAGAATACACCAATTCATGTCTTTCTTCGCCAATAATGCAGTGAATGAAATACAATGTATACATACACACATACATTAAACACATTATCCTAATGTTAAGATTTTTAGACACTAACCTACCAATATCTCTTGAAACAAGTAAACCCACACTTATACATTGGATATTGAGGTTCTTAGAGACAACTGTGATGTGAGGCTCTCAGACGAGAAGAATTTAATCTTGAGGTTGATGAATTATTTAATATTGCTTTTTTTTTTTTTTCACGGAGTCACAGTTAAAGACCCCTTGATACATGGAGTCGGCCAGGCCTTGTTCTTAACTACTGGCTACAGAAAAACTTTGGGCTGACTTTAGGTCCATTTATTCCTGTGGGTAAATAATACATGGGGCCTAGGCTTTGGAACGATGTGTAAATTGTACAATAGCTATGTAACTAATAAATATATTAGGCAACAATATATATATGTGTGTGTGTGTGTGTATAAAATCCAAAATCAAATATATACCTAATGCTTATTATAATATATATAGTTGCCTAATATATATTTATATATTAGATATATATATATATATAAATAAAAAAAAATGATGTATTAAATATAAAAGAAATATTGCAATCGCTGCTAAGCCTGATTTATAATAAATGATTCAAGTGTGACCTCATCTGATAAATTATAGATAGATATGGGATCCCCACAAGCAAATCCCGTGCAGTTTAACTCATTACTAAAACAATATAAATTTCTAATTATTTAAAATTGTAAAAACAGCATAATTTATCTAATGCTTCATATAATATCGATAAACGTGTATTCAAAGCATATGACTATTATAACGCGGGTTTAATGTGATAAGCAATCTCTTTACCAGTGTGAGTGATTTTAAGGTTTCTATGTGTGTGTGAAAATGTAAGATTTTACATAGAGCAATGGATATTTGGTTATTATTATTATTATAATTTACTGCAATATTAATGGATTATTCTATTGGTAAAATGTATATTTATATATAAACATATATGTATACACTATATATATATATATATATATAAAACACAGCACATTCCATTCTGAAATCTTTAAAGCTTATAAAGTTTTATAAAAACACCTGATTTAGGTCAAATAATTTATTGAATAAGCCTGTCACAGAGTCAAATATTGGAAGGTTTTATGTATGCTAATCCAAACGGCTGCTCTTATGATACTTTGTATACCCATTCTGAATAAGCTTATATTATTACAACAAACTTTATATCCACCAAACAAACTTAAATCTTTGTAACAAATTTATATTGCAATGCAAAGCATCGCTGCACATGTATACAAATGTATCAGACTAGGATCTGCTAAAAAAGAGATACAGGTTAGGTCATGGATGAGTCAAAGTGTTTGGGACAGTAATCCGAACTTTACTAAATATAACTGTTAACTTGTGTGTCTCTGAATGCTCTAAACTTTGGTTATGTGATTGTACACTGAACTTCTTCCTATATTATTCTATTGACCTTATAACTATCACTCTTTCACCATTACCATTTGTTATTTCTGCTCTGTGTGTGGAGAGGAAATCTTTAAGTATATTCTCAAATATTCTCATATATATATACTGGGGTACAGGACCTGCAACAACAGCGAATAATGATTTGAAAAAATGTATGTGTAATTTATGAATATTGTATATATATATATATATTACACACTATACAGTATATAAAAAGGTTATACTCTTCCCTAATCATATGATATGATTTATTTATTTTTTAAATGCTTGCTATGCAGCGGTTCAGAAAGATTTTTCAAATGTATATGCAATATGTTTATATATAGATACATACCTATAATAATTCACACTGGGGATATACCATTCCTTAATTATATTGTGTGTGTGTGTGTGTGTGTGTGTGTGTGTGTGTGTGTGTGTGTGTGTGTGTGTGTGTGTATTACACACTATACAGAATATTAAGAGGTTAGGGTGGTTATACCATTTCCTAATTACATTGTGTGCGTGTGTGTATATATATATATATATATATATATATATATATATATATTACACACTATACAGAATATTAAGAGGTTATACAGAATATTGAGATGTTAGGGTGGTTATACCATTTCCTAATATCATTGTGTGTGTGTGTATAGACAAATAATAATAATGTTCCAATGTTAAAGTGCACTGGGTGTACAGATGTGTGCAATGGGGTCCAGGGCTGTTTTTGAGAAGTTCTGGGGTACTCCTAAATTCACATTGTACAACCTCTTAATATACTCTATAGTGTGTAATACGTATACACCTATTTTGTATGATGATAATATTGTTCCAATGTTGAAGTGCACTGGGTGTACAGATGTGTGCAATGGGGTCCAGGGCTGTTTTTGAGAAGTTCTGGGGTGCTGATAAATTCACCCCAAGTCAGCAGCACTGCCCCAGTCTACAGAATGTCCCCAGCTGTTGACTTCCCCCCTCCCCTCCCAGCTGATACCTGGCTATGTATTTGAACCAGTGGGCTCACAAAGTTGAAGGTGAAGGGACAAAGAGGTTTTGGGTTTGTGTGGGGCTGACTTACTGAGTCTGTCAGACTTGCCCTAGAGGGCGGAGCCCTTTAACATACCTCAAACAAGAACGAACCTTCCCTCAAGAACACCGCATCTTTACTCAATAGCACCGTATCCATCAAACAGATGGGGATTTCTACAGCCAAACCGCCATACAGGTAAGGTGGGAGCAGGACTGGGCATAGGGGGTGTCACAGGGGAAGGGGAATACAAGCAGATGGACCTAAAAATATTGATACCAGGCTACAAATATCTAATTCTCTGTCAGTAACACCCAGAAAATTCCCCAATAATATATCCCACATCAATAAACACATTACTTTAATTAAAAAAATATATATAAATAAATAATAAATAAATAACAAAAAAAAGTCACTTTTGAAGACAAATGAACTATTTGTGCTAACCGGTTTGTTTTTGTTTTTGTGTTTTAGATTCCATTCAGCTTTGAAGAAACATTTTACCAAAAATAAAAAAATAAAAAGAGGGGAGAATTCCACTTTGACCAGTAAGTTGTTGAACTTTTTTTTTTTTAAGTCTGTAGAATTAAATGTACTATGTATCCATTTGATATGGCTGGCAGGCAGCTTATTAAATGCAAATCAGGAAGTAAAGACAATAATAGCAATGAATTGTGCCACAGTGAAAAAAGGAAACAGGGAGTCTTGTATAAAATGTTATTCTGACACTGGTAATAAATGACATTGGGATAAGTTACATTGTATCTCGCCCAAGGCAGGACAGTGTGCACAGACCATAGTCACACTATCATTTAACAATGTGGATTTATCTCAGCTCTGGCTGACTTTCTGTTACAACTGTACATGTGAACTTTTAGTAATTGGATGCAAGGATCTTAGTATGAAACATCTTGCAGTGTTTAAAAACATTAAAAAAAAGAGAGTATTGTAGTATTGTGTGATGGGATTATCTGCAATATGTAGCCTTGTTCTGTGAAGTCAAAGCATGTTTGTGACACAGCGATGATGTTTAAGAATTGGTCCATTGTCAGTGGAAAAACTAAATAAAAATAAAATAAAATAAATGTATACTCAGATCTAATATTGAACAATATGTTATGTTGTATTTTTAAAAATATTTTTATGTATATATTATTTTATTCACATTGTATGTGTTTGAAATATGCAAATATAATGTAAATATATACTTAATGCATAAATAATCTAAATAATTAAAATTCTATTATTTAGGAACTTCAGCTATTTCGATATTGTTTACACTAGTCCCCTCCTATTCATAAATGTAAATAAAAGCGTTAATGTATATTTTGTATAAAATCAAATGAAAAAAAATAAAATAAACAATTTGTAGAATATAACAATAGGAGTTTAATAATAAACAATTTAGCCCTCATGAATGGTAAATTTAATAACAAATAATAATATGCACCCACACGCACACCTGTGCATATAATGGTTATTTATGCATTTGTTTACTTTTCAGAATCATTTTTTTTTAGAACCTGATTTGTTTTTCACTGCACCGTTTGCAGAATTTGTAAGGTTTTTGTGCTAATTCTTCTGGTTTCTTAAAACAGATTCTGCTTATACTTGAAGTTATTACAAGAATGGCCAGAAGAGGGCGGTCTACCCCAGGTAAACATATACTGATTTTTTTCTATAATTTACACTTAGGCTGCTAAGATAACTAAAATGACTTTATATTACAGATAGCTTTATTTATTTGTAATGCCGATTTTTTTAACGTTGAAAAATCATGTTTGTTGTTGAAGTATTAATACTGTGTGTAAATAAAACCTTTTAATTGGGAGAATTTTTTTTTATTTTTATTGTTTTGTTTTACTACATTTTTTTTTCTAAGTTCAGAGAAAGAACCCCATTTGCATGTCCTTTGTCTTATATTTTTTATTGCCTTTTGTACGTTATTTGACGCTAATTAAGATTTTTAGCTAAGTCTGGAATATTTTGCCAAATATTTCATTAATATTAGTACTGTATCATTGGAATAAAACATTTTGATACAATGAAATCATTTCTATCAATGTTTTTATCTTAAATGAGATAAACTTGTTATCTCGCTATCAAAATGTTTTTTTTTTTTACACCCACACATTGCTCTATCCAATATGTAAAAAAGAGATTTATTTTTACAATATGCAGCGTGGAGGTGACAACAATGTGACCCCCAGAATCTGTTCTTCTTTACAGAAAAGAAATGATCTAAATTAATGTAAATGACTACAAACGTCTTAATAAACGAACAAAGCTTTTTCCCATAGATCGATTTATATAATCGAATCGTGTGTTCTATGTTAGACTGATCGGAAACAGTTGCTCTTGGGGGTTCGATCGTTAGAATTGTGAAGAAAAATATTTAGGGGTTATTTTTACAAGGAATGTGACTCCTTTGTTAGCTAGAGGTCTTCCAAATGAACCGTCACCGTCGCCAGGAAATATATATAGTGTGTTAGTGAGTGTGTATATATATATATATATATATATATAGTGTGTTAGTGAGTGTGTATGTATATATATATATATAGTGTGTTAGTGAGTGTGTATATATATATATATAGTGTGTTAGTGAGTGTGTATATATATATATATAGTGTGTTAGTGAGTGTGTATATATATATATAGTGTGTTAGTGAGTGTGTATATATATATATAGTGTGTTAGTGAGTGTGTATATAGTACTTGAATATATATATATAGTGTGTTAGTGAGTGTGTATATAGTACTGAAATATATATATAGTGTGTTAGTGAGTGTGTGTATATATATATATATATATAGTGTGTTAGTGAGTGTGTATATAGTACTTGAATATATATATATAGTGTGTTAGTGAGTGTGTATATAGTACTGAAATATATATATAGTGTGTTAGTGAGTGTGTGTATATATATATATATATATAGTGTGTTAGTGAGTGTGTATATATATATATATATATATATATATATATATAGTGTGTTAGTGAGTGTGTATATAGTACTGGAATATATATAGTGTGTTAGTGAGTGTGTACATAGTACTGGAATATATATATATATATAAAGCAAGTCTTGATTTTTGTTTAACATTGTATTAAGTATCCACAGACTTTAGGTGGAAGGGGTTTTCAATCACAATTTCCCCCCACCATAACCTTTTTGGATATATAAATATATGTAGAGTATATATATATATATATATATATATATATATATATATATATAGTGTATATATGTATGTATATATATATATATATAGAGAGAGAGAGTGAGAGAGAGAGTTTATATATATATATATACACAGAGTATACTAGTATACTGAAACAGGGATATATATAATATTTCAGTATACTAGTATACTCCAATACTCTGTGTTTATATATATATAATATTTCGGTATACTAGTATACTCCAATACTCTGTGTGTATATATTTATATAAAATATTTCAGTATACTAGTATACTAAAATACTCTGTGTTTATATATATATAATATTTCGGTATACTAGTATACTCCAATACTCTGTGTGTATATATTTATATAAAATATTTCAGTATACTAGTATACTAAAATACTCTGTGTTTATATATATATAATATTTCAGTATACTAGTATACTCCAATACTCTGTGTTTATATATATATATATAATATTTCAGTATACTAATATACTCCAATACTCTGTGTTTATATATATATATAATATTTCAGTATACTAGTATACTCCAATACTCTGTGTTTATATATATATATATATAATATTTCGGTATACTAGTATACTCCAATACTCTGTGTTTATATATATATATATATATAATATTTCAGTATACTAGTATACTCCAATACTCTGTGTTTATATATATATATATATATATATATATTTAATATTTCGGTATACTAGTATACTCCAATACTCTGTGTGTATATATTTATATAAAATATTTCAGTATACTAGTATACTCCAATACTCTGTGTTTATATATATATATAATATTTCAGTATACTAGTATACTCCAATACTCTGTATATCCGTGTTCAATATTAAAGTTTTTTTTTTAATTAATATTATTATTTAAATTCATTTAAACAAAGCTAATGCATTTGTGTCTTCACAATTATGAACTGAATATCAGTTTACTCTGGTGTGGATAGGTTAGATATTATTTTGTAAAAAGGACATTTCTAGGGGATTTTATTTCTAGTCAGTTGTTATAGTCGTTTGAGAATCCACACTAGCACAATCTAGGCCAAATATGCACATTTGGAAAATAATCCAATCAATCTGACTGTATGGCAGAGATTTTCCAAAACGGTTATTGTATCTTGTGTTCTGTTAGTCGGTTCTCAAATCGGTTTAGTCAATAAGCCACATATTATCTACCAAAGCACATATATACCCAGATACAACATATTGCTTTCTATGAGTTTCTATGCTTTTATTAATGAATGTGTTTTGTATGTATTAGACACAGATATACACACATGCAGGTTTGTTTATTTTGTTAAATGAGTTGCCTGTTTATGTACAAAATTCGAGTAAATTCTATGGAGCTGCACCAGTCATTAGCTGCAATTAAATCCAGAAAGTTCTGATTACAATAAGAAGGGTGGAATCGATTCATTTTCTTCAATAAAAACGAGTGTTCCCAGCTCCCATCGATCTGTGTGTTTGCTAATGCCAAGCTATAAAGATTCGCTCCAATATTTGGCTGTCTGCTGGTCTAAATAACGAAACCCATGACTTGCACAATCCCAGCCTGTGGATTAACAAAATCTTATACTTACCTGTTCTAGAATCCTAAACTCCAATGGAACAAGGGATACATTAACGTATTATAAAATAAATAAATAAATGTATGTATGTTCATATTTTATGTATGCATGTATAGATAGATAGATAGATAGACAGACAGATAGAGAGATAGATACATGATAGATATAGATAGATAGATAGATAGACAGATAGATAAATGATAGACAGATAGATAAATGATAGACAGATAGATAGATAGAGATAAATGATAGATAGACAGACAGACAGACAGATAGATAGATAAATAGATAGAGATATATAGATACATTATAGATACTAGATAGATAAATGATAGATAGATAGATAGATAGATAGATTTTGTACCAATTACATACCAAGAGTTGTTAACATATTTATAAATAAAACACACACACAAATTGCACTGGATAGAATTCTAAAATATTGAGGTTTTGGTAACCTTTATAGAAAAACATTTCCAAGTTAGATACATTTGTTTTATTATAAAAATTTTTTGGAAAAATATGATTTTTTTTCTTCTAATTTTGCAGATTTTGTCTAAATTGTATAGGTCTGTACCTCAGGTCAGCACACCTCACAGCCTCACTGTTTAGTGGATATACCCCTTGTGACTTTCTGATATTTGCATCATAATCAGTAAAAAGCAATTTGGAAGATGCGAGCAATTTAGGCACGGAAATCGCAAATAAATAAAATATGTCAGTAACTAAGTGTCTTACTCCAGATAGTGCATTAGTAAATAGCTGGTTTAATTTGTACGTGAATGTGTCTTTAATTTCGGCACTACAAAACAGTAGTAAACGAGCTATCAGCTAACACCATTCTAATTATTAATAATAACATTAATAAAATAATAATAATAATAATATTGTATTATTTTATTGAATAGGCATAGAAAACTTCCTGCCTATACACACACACACACACACATACATACATAAACACATATTTGCGTGACTGTATATTCTGTAGTATTTTCTAAAAATATATAAATATTCTTCTGTTTCTGTGACAAGTGAATTTGATCCCATGGGGCCGACAACTGTATCTGTGTTCTAACGTCTGAGTTTTGCTTGGAGTTAAATCTCTATATATTGTAGCTTTGATATTAATTGATTTTTTTTCCTTCCAGTTCCTACTGCTGAGTTGAAATCTTACAATTTAAATTTTTTTTTTGGTGTATTGAAAAAAACCTTTAATTTAGATTTTTAATCTTACGTGGTGTCAATGATGCGATTGTGTATTGGATGAAAATATACAATTTAAAGAAAATAAAGAGGGGATCTTTGTGTAGCTACATTCTCCTGGGAAAATGCAGTAGATATTGTTCAGTGCTCAAGGGTGTTATTAAAACATAACTTTACCATAGGGAAAATATCAAAAAATATCAAAAGATGTCCTTTTCGATAGCTCTATTCCCTTATCCTACCATGTTACTAAGTAATTAGAGTCTGGAGGCTCGAAATGCTCTTTTAGCAAAAAAATAAAAATAAATGTTATTTGTGATTATTAAACAGCAGTCTGTTAATGTATTTTAAATAATATCTATTGTTGATGTTTTGTAAACGCGTTTTGCTATAGAGCACCCGTCTCTAATATTATGATTTATAGTTAACAGACTTAATGGCCTTTGTGGTGGAATAAAATAATTTTATTTTGCAACATTAAAATATTATATATATATTGTTTTTAATATTTCCATGCTTTTCAACGCAGAATGTATATATATATTTTTTCTTCTTGTCAATAGAAATATTTATGTAGATTTTTGGAAGGTTCTACTGAAAAACTACAACAGTGTATTTATAAAATAAATAGAATTTAAAAAAAAATACAATTTATTTATAATGCATTCTGTTTTTCTTTTTTTTTCTGATTTATTTTACAAGGAGATCTAAAAGTGCATTTGATTGGTCGCAAATAATTATTTTGCTAAAGAGAAATATATTAACAGGGCTAATTAAATAAATAAATACATACATACATAACTATAAAACAATAGTTACAATACGAAAGCACGACAAAATTAATGTTGTTATTTATTAACCGCCAGCATGTTCAGTAGCGCTGTACAATAAATTGTGGTGCACAGGGACTGCAAGACACATAGCAGGCCAGTGTATAAAGGCCTCAAGTGACCTCTTCTAATCCTCATCCAGGCAACCATGTGCTCTAGGCACCTCAAGTCTTTTTTTAACTCGTTAGCTGCCAAAGCGAATGTGCAAGATATTGCACACTGTACAAGGTTATGTACACTAAACAGTTAATTGCAAATAATTTGAAAACCCAATTGCAGAAAAGTAAAAATTTGAACTGGAGTACTTTCATTGCACAGCTGCAGTCAAATCTGTGCTAGCATGGAGTTTGCAATCCAGTATTTAGTTCACAACAAATCACTGTTCACTAAATACACCCCATGGTATTTAATGCCCAGATTATAGGCAAAAGTTTGTATGTGAATCTGAAGCAAGTCAGTATAAGGATGGGGGTGGACAGCAGTGGGGTCTATTTTGTAAGTTTGAAACAAGCTGCTTCCCTGCCCTGCCCCCCTCCCCCCCCCCTTTTTTTTTTTTGCTTGACTCTCACTAATGCAAGATGACTGAGCTGGGGCAAAGTTGAGGCTGAATCTTAAGATCCAAGTGCCTGGTCTGTAATGGTCAGTTTAACATTAAACCCCTTACACTGACTCAGCCGTATTTAAAATATTGAAAATATTGGGAGGTGATACAGTTATACCATGTCTATAGCTTCTGACTTGACCCAAACTTAAAAAAGAAAACAAGGACAGATTCATTTTATAACCTTCCTTTGAGACCATTTTTTTCTCTCTCCAAAGTTTGTCTGTAGTGAATTAGAGTGAATAGAAATCAGTGAGGAATAAAAAAAAAAGTGTAGCCCAAACTATCCAATTTCTCTCCCCTCTCCAAAAAAAAATAAATGCTTGTGGTGAAAGTATAAATTAATTCATTTATTTGCAGATTTTTGGAGAAGTGCAACAATAGGTTTAAAGGAATGATCAGTTGAGATAAAAATGACTTATCAAAACTTGTCAATCTTCATATCATGGCAATAATAGCACACAAACCCTGTACAGATGTGTATATTAAAATATTGGGCCATCACAACAGTGTTTTAGAAAAGGAGTCTGAGATATTGTAGTAAAACTTAGTTTTAAAGATATACCTGCATTCAATCTTTATAGAGCAAAACCCACCCTTTATTTATTAGGTATAGGGTTGTATAAGACTGAGAATAGACTTTTAAATTTAGACCAACACAGATATCTCTTTAATTCTGTTTATTGTGATATATGCTACAAATTCATCAATTATATTTAGAATTCTAGAATATTTTTTGAAACATTCTTTTTGTACTCACTTAGAAATTGGAAAGGAGTTGTCATCATAGTGTACAATTTAGTAAAAGATCAGGGAAAAGCTCTAGTGAAATATCAATTAAAAATTCAATTTACCTTAATAATCAGTATGTAGAGTATTTTTTTTACTGGGCAGAGAAAAACCTAATGCCAATAAATACATAAATAATATATATTGGAATTATGTCTCAAAAGACAAACATCTATTTAAATAGCTTTTTTAATCAAGAGAAATTCTTGAATATTGTGAAGAAATAGTAAGCACATTAATTAAACAAATCAAGCCATTAGTCTTCATATGATTCTAATTATCCTTTAGGTTTCCATTATTTAGCATATATCTGTACTCTGTGCCATATTTATATAATGATATAGTATAGATATATATCACAAATTAAAAGATATTGCTTATATATAACATTCTTATTTCTCTTAATAGTTACTTCCTGGTTCCTATATAAATTCTTATTACTGATTGTGTATAGCTTGCTATAACTCCTCCTATTACTCTATATAATACCTTGATATAACATATCCTATTACTCTATATAATACCTTGCTATAACCCCTCCTATTACTCTAATATCTTGCTATAACTCCTCCTTTTACTCTGTATAATAGCTTGCACTTACCCCTCCTATTACTCTTTATAATAGCTTGCTATAACCCCTCCAATTACTCTATTTAACACCTTGCTATAACTCCTCCTATTACTCTATATAATACCTTGTTATAACTCCACCTATTAATCTATATAACACCTTACTATAACCCCTCCTATTACTCTATATAATGCCTTGCTATAAACCCTCCTATTACGCTATATACCACCTCCTATTATTCTAATACCTTTCTATTACTCTATATAACACCTCCTATAACTCTAATACCTTGCTATAACTCCTCCTATTTCTCGATATAATATCTTGCTATAACTCCTCCTATTAATCTATATAATAGCTTGCAATAACCCCTCCTATTACTCTATATAATACCTTGCTATAACTCCTATTACTCTGTATAATACCTTTCTATAACGGCTCCTATTACTCTATATAACACCTTGCTATAACACCTCCTCTTACTCTATATTATACCTTGCTATAACTCGTCCTATTACTCTATATAACACCTCCTATTACTCTATATTATACCTTGCTATAACTCCTCCTATTACTCTATATCATGGGTCCTCAAACTCTGGTCACCCAGATGTTGCTGAACTACAACTCCCATGATTCTTTGAATTACATAGATAGCCAGAGAGTCATGGGAGTTGTTGTTCAGCAACATCTGGTGGGCCGGAGTTTGAGGACCCATGTTCTCTGTAATACCTTGCTATAACCCCTCCTATTACTGTTTATAATACCTTGCTATAACTCCTATTAATCTATATAATAGCTTGCAATAACCCCTCCAATTTCTCTGCATAAAATCTTGCTATAACTCCTCCTATTACTTTATGCAATACCTTTCTATAACTCCTCTCATTACTCTATATAATACCTTGCTATAACCCCTCCTATTACTCTAATACCTTGCTATAACTCCTCCTATTACTCTATATAATAGCTTGCAATTACCCCTCCTATTACTCTATATAAAACCTTGCTATAACTCCTCCTATTACTCTGTATAATAACTTGCTGTAACTCCTCATATTACTCTATATAATACCTTGCTATAACTCCTCCTATTACTTTATGCAATACCTTTCTATAACGCCTCCTATTACTCTATATCAGGGATAGGCAACCTTCGGCACTCCAGATGTTGTGGACTACATCCCCTATAATGCTCTTACACCCATAATGCTGGTAAGGCATCATGGGAGGTGCAGTCCAAAACATCTGGAGTGCAGAAGGTTGCCTATGCCTGCTCTATATAATACCTTTCTATAACTCCTTCTATTACTCTATATAACACTATTACTCTATATGATATCTTGCTATAACCCACCTATTAATCTATATAGTATCTTGCTATAACCCCTCCTATTACTTTATATAATACCCTGATATAACTCCTGCTATTACTCTATATAATATCTTGCAATAATCCCTCCCATTACTCTATATAATAGCTTGCAATAATCCCTCCTATTATCCTATATAATACCTTGCTATAACCCCTCCTATTACTCTATATTATACCTTGCTATAACCCCTCCTATTACTCTATATAACACCTCCTATTATTCTAATACCTTGCTATAACCCCTCCTATTACTCTATATAACACCTCCTATTACTCTAATACCTGGCTATAACCCATCTATTAATCTACATAGTATCTTCCTATAACCCCTCCTATTACTCTATATAATACCTTGCTATAACTCCTATTACTCTGTATAATAACTTGCAATAATTCCTCCTATTATTCTATATAATAGCTTGCTATAACCTCTCCTATTACTCTATATAATAGCTTGCTATAACCCACCTATTAATCTATATAATATCTTCCTATAACCCCTCCTATTACTCTATATAATAGCTTGCTATAACCCCTCCTATTACTCTATATAATACCTTGCTATAACTCCTCCTATTACTGTGTATAATAACCTTCAATAATTCCTCCTATTATTCTATATAATACCTTGCTATAACCACTCCTATTACTCTGTATAATACCTTGCTATAACTCCTCCTATTGCTCTATATAATAGCTTGCAATAATCCCTCCTATTACTCTATATAGTAGCTTGCTATAACTCCTCCTATTACTCTATATAACACCTTGCTATAACCCCTCCTATTACTCTATATAATAGCTTGCTATAACTCCTCCTATTACTCTATATAATAGCTTGCAATAATCCCTCTGCTTGCTATAACTCCTCATATTACTCTATATAACACCTTGCTATAACCCCTCCTATTACTCTTTTTAACAGTTCATTAAAACTCCTCCTATTACTCCATATAACCGCTTTCCGTATTACCCCATCTAATTATGACATACAATAGTTCTTCTTAACCCCTCCTACTATTTGATATAACAGTTCCCTAATACCCTCCCAATTACTTTACATAAGGCTCACTCTAACGCCATCCATTTCAGGGGATAGTAGTTTACTATTTCTTATTGTAACAATTTTCTTTATCTTCTTAAACAAAGAATTCCTCAAAAGATTACAGAAAACAACAAATCCATGATAAATTCAATCCGTCTATATAAAACTTTTTCATAACCTGATTCAGCTTTTTTTTATTTTTAAGTCTTCATCAATATCTACTTATATTTCTTCCTATAGCATGTGTTTTGATATGTTGCGTGTATACACAGCACAATCTAATAAGTCTGAACAGGCCTTCGCTGTCATGGATGAAGTTCTGCGATAGTCAAGGCAATCTACTCGATACACAACAGGCCAAGCAACTCAACCATGCGGAAACCTAACAAAAATATAGCAGTACAACAATTGCGAAGGAATCTGTGGGCAGCTGGAGTAAACAGTACCTACGAGTGACAAGGGAACGAGGCACAGTTTTCTTGTAACCTGTAGAATGAGGGACGAAAGAAGAAAATGATCAGAGCAGACCCGAGATTCTCCTACAGCCGGCCTACTCTGCTTAGCAAGGGCTAAGCTCACGGGGGCTAAGCCTGATCTTTGTGAAGGGAGCACAGAAAACATTTGACAGGTCGTGAATAATCATTTTAATGAGTGCGTAAAGCGTGCGACGGGGTGTTCGGATCTGTCGGGTTAAACAAACAACTTGTACCCAGAGCAAATCCCATTGTTTAAGTGCAAAGTGGTGTCAGTTCAATTTCCCGGCTCTTCCTAAAACTTACAGATCAAACGCAAGGGTGTCCAGTGTTTCTCCATTAAGAAAAAAAAATAACAATATTTTAGTAACGTGAGTTTGATCTCCTTTTATAATCAGGATCCCCCCCCCCCTTAATCCTCTCCTTAACCCTAATTGCTCCTTTTGCCCCCTGTTAACCTATTTCTGCCTCTATTGCTCATACTTACCCATCAGCTCCTAAATGCATGACTACTTTTTTTATCACCTTGTCTTATTTCTACATATAAAATTCCCTTAATTTCAATTTTTGTTTGTTCAGAGCCACTCGTAACCTTCATGGAAACTCGCCTCTCACTCTCTCTGGGAAGGAATGAGTAAATATTCGCAAGGTTATTCGGTAAACTATAAATTGTTCTTGATTCACCAGGGAATTTAAAATTTTAGGTTAAATTAGTGAAAATGGAACATTTCTTTAAGTTAGCTGAGATCCCAGGCCAGCTAATTTTGGATCCTGACCCTGGGGTTTAAAATCACAAACTTTACGTTGCAGTAAGACTACCAGACACAACTTGTGTTTCCACTGAGGAACGTTATTGATGGTTAAGGTCACTCAGCAATGAAGGGATACACAGTGTGTTGAGAGATAAAACAGGTTTAAGCAATGGAAGACTATTAAAATTATGACAAGTCTTCTGACAGACTTGAGGATGTGTTTAATGTAAATCAGACCCTATGTAATGAGAAGTCCTTATTTTCTATAAGTATTAATAATTACAAAAAACAACACATAAAAAAATTCAAATATATAAAATATGGGGAAATTTGGGTTAATAATTTTATGTGGAAAACAAAAAAACAATATATCTAGCCTGTTCTTTAAGTGCCGAGAACATTTTGAGTCTACCTCTGAGATTACTTCAGTTTGTTGGGTTTCTGTACCTTGACTTCAGTTGTGTATGGTGTAGGCAAACAATATTGACTTATTTAAATATCAAAAAGTTTATTTATTTTAAGATTTTATTTTTTTTCTGTAAAATTGATCTAGTAAGCCCTGAATGTTACTTTAATTTGCTAAATTTGGGAAGAATAGTCAAATTTAAAATATCATTTTAGTGTAGTCTAAAGATATGTCGATTTGGTTCAAGCCTGCTTTAAAATAAAGCAAACATTTTTTTATACGCAAAGTATAGGAAGTTGGACATTTTTTATACATCAAAGTGGATCCATAGTTCATCTAATTCCTCACTTCAGCTACTGTTTGCTACATCCCCTCAGTTCCATCTCGAAACTCACATTGTCATTATACTTGTGCACTTAAAAAAAAATAATAATTTCACTTGAATCAATTCATATGGAAAAAATATTTTGGGCTCTTTGGCTTTTGTCCATATGGCATTTTAGTTCGAATTAATTTTGTCCATGGAATCCTTCCAGGAAAAAATGTTTTAGATGAACCAAAATTTTGTGAAAATTGACCAATCAGTGTATTGCAAAACATATATATAATACAAAGTGATATTAGTGATAGTCACATGTTCAACTATTAGTAGTATTAGTTACTGCATATCTCCTTTCTTTTTGCCCCACCACCTGCTCCCTTGATGTCATTTCCTTGCACCTTCTCAGATTTCTTCTCCTTGGCTTATACCATTCCCAACATACATCTACAATTGTTCTCTTTATCTGGCGTTGTTCCCAATTTCCTTAAACAAGCCACTGTCTCTACTACCCTAAAAAAAAGTAATTTCTTGAACTCTCTGCTCCATCTAATTATCATCCAATATTCCTATTCCGTCTTACCTATAAAATTCTTGAAAGACTTTTCTGTACCTGCTTGACCCATCTTCTCAACTCGAACTTTCTGTGATCCTCTTCAATATGATGTTCACACCCTGCATTTAACAGACAGTGATCTAACTAAAGTGTCTAATAATCGAATCGTGGCTAAGCCAAAGGCTTCTACTCCAACATAATTTTTATGGACCTCTATGCTATCACACTCTTCTGTGCCAAACCCTTCATACCAATGGTCTTCATCGCAAACCCTTCACACCCTTGACCTTTCTTTGCCGATTCTCATCTTATTATTCTTATTGTTCCTTCAGTGTATACTTTTTTTGTAACACTTTTACTTCTCAACTTGTATCAGTTGGAATCCACCAAGTCTATGTCCTTGGTCCACTTATATATTTTATTCACAATGCTTCACTTATAGCACATATGCGTTCCTTTGGATTGAATGTACTACCCATATCCCAATGGCAACTAGATAGGCTTCGCCTCCACTGATCTCTGATGTCACCAGGTGCCTCTTTTCCATTTCCAAATAGATTCTTTACACTTCACAAAGCTCAATCTTTCACAAATGTATTTTCACTTCTCTACTTATACAATTAGTGCTCTGCTCTCACTCTCCTTGAAAAATATTTCCATGTTCATCAGCCTTTCCTTGCAAGCCCACTGCCTTGGTATTATCTAACCTTTATAATCCATACACTGCCTGTAGGCTTGTGTATCTCTTAAATCCCCACCAACTGGTGCATTCTTGGCAATGACTGTGCATTTAGTAAGTTTCAGCTGGAGAGGAAAGGATGCTATTTTAGAAGACTTGCCGCTCGATTAAAAGGATATTGGTTGTGGGGGGGGGGGGGGGGGGGGGAAGAAGGGGGCCACCTGACATCTAGAGGGGTAAAGGAATACCCCAAACAGTAGAACAGAATTTTAGCTTTTAACATTTGCGTGTTCTTTAGATGTATGTATTGTATATTAATATTTGTGTCTATATTAGAAATATAAAAAATATATGCACATATCTATAATCTATACGCATGCATTTAAAAAAATAATAATAACCTTGATGTTTTAAAAACACACACACACTCACTGACGCATGCACAAACTCTCACTGACACACATACTGACACAAAAACACTACGTGACAAAAACACACACACTGGCATGCACAGTCACAGATATGCAAACACACTGGCATAAATACTTTAACTGTCACACACAAACACACACTCAACTTTAACAAACACTCACTCTGACACTTACTCACTAACAGACACTGCCTTTACCAGAGGTGCTTGGCACAAAGTCATACAGCCTGATCCCTTGCCCTTAGGCCATTGTGATCTGACATCATATATCGGCAGCTTTAGCTCTGTGCACTCAGAGAGGAGCCAGTCACTTCTCGCTAACAAGAAGAAGGCAGCAGACAGCACCAGCAAGCCCCAATTAACAGTGACCCACCAGGAAATTTCTCAGTATCCTGATGGATCATTCTGTCCCTTCACAGAATAACTGGTGGGATGGGGAAGCTCTGCACACCCGCCTGCAGCCTGTCACTCAGACTTATGAACCCCATGGGCTGATGTGCCTTAAGGCGGCTTCCTGTGCCACCTTATGGTAGTGCCAAATTTGCCCTCTTGACATATCTTCATCTTCACTAATTCAGACACACCTTTGTCACTCTGCTCTGACCTTCTCCAGTCCTATTTACACATTTGTACTAGTAATTCTCACCTAGAGGACTTCTCAAGGGCAGCTCTGTTCCTATGGAATGGCTTACCCCACTTATCAGACTTCTCCCTAGTCTTCAATCCTTTACGAAGTCCCTTAGAATGATCTCTTCCAGCAAGCTTATAGCCCCCCGGGTAATATTCAGAATCATTATTTAAAGCTGTCTGCCTCCTTTTTAAAAAAATATATTTCTCAAATCTCTTAGTAAAACTTTTCATATGATGTACCTACAGATATCCCCATTAAAGTCTATGAGGATTTTTTTAGATAAATAATTTTGAAGGGTTCTTCTAACAGATTTGAATCATTTAAAAAAAAATGTATCCAAAAATATTAAATCGAGGACATAATTAGTTGCTCCAAAGTCCTCCTCACTTTCCTGCCTTCCACCTCTACAGCTTCCCGCACACTCACTTGTTGATCTTAGCCCTATGTTTCTCTTACTTTTGTGGTTTTATACCTTATCGAGGTAATAATAATATTTAGTTTCTTGCTTGTTTTCTGCTACATGCTCTCATTAAAATTGTAAAGCGCTGTGTAATGTGTTGGAACTATTTAAATGTAAAATAAATGTGATCATGTAGCCCTGTAGTGTTCCTTTAATAAGACGATAAAGCATACTGTATCTAGAACCAATGAGCATATACATTTATGTACCCTACTCCACGATGGTGGGTGGTCATTGTTGCCAACTACAGCTTGGCATGAATGCCAAATGCACTTGTTTTATCAGTTAAATTTAAGTTGCACTTATAAAAACATCTCATATATAGAAGTATTTTAGAAACTGTTCTTAATGTGATTAAATTCAAACAAGTCAATAAATGAGACAACAGGATTAGTAGCAAGGCATATTTTCAGTGACCCGCACAAAATCTGTAAGGTATTATCATGCACATATAAAGGTTTATTGACTTGTGATGAAAATAAGATTTGCATAAGGGTAAGACGATACCTTCATATGACAAAAAGGGTGTAGCTGGAAAAATAAATAGACCTGTAACAAAATGAATAAAGGCAAGGAATGTTTCAGTTATGAAACAGACTAAGAAAATGCATTTGTTTACTACCAGAAGTGAGAGGATAATAATTATATAAATATTTGATGAATCGGTACAAACAGCCCCACGTTGAACTGTTCATTAAAAGAACTGTACAAAGAACACCAAGGGACTCATTAACATTAAAGAAAAGGACAGTTGACCTACAGCAGAAGATTTATCTAAAATTGTTACCTAAGGAGAATGGGACAACATGTGGGTTTGGGTAGAGTTGAGCAGAAATTAAGAAACATAAGTGCTCCTCTACAGAGATTATATATTGGAGTATAAGAGGAGGAATAGAGTCCAAATCTGGCACATCTAGTATTTGACTTTGTGAAATCAGTATATTTGTACTTGTACTACATTAAAACTATTTTGTTTCACCGTGGTGATAATATCTTGTAAAAGCAACAATTTATTGGATGGCTAAATTCCTGATGATTAGCCAATCCGAATACAAGTTAAACACATTTTCCTGAAAGTAGGACATGTTGCCAAGCAGTAAATAATGGTCCTACCAGGCAATATATATAGACGTTAAACGTCCAGAAAGCTATGTTCTTCAAACCTTTTTAGAGATATGTATGTGATCATGTGGTGATGTTAAATGCAGCATATTCAATTATATAATTACTCAGATATAGTAGTCTATCTCAAGGACACATTGTTAATTGACAAGAATATGCTTTCTCAAGAAGTCCTAGGCATAAACTTAAGTCAACATATTTTTACCACAGCTTATTTTGCCTAAATTGACCTGTTTTCTTGACCAATCCCACTAAAATAAAATTGTAATACAGCCTAAAAAACAGGGGTCAAGAAAATGTTCTTGCTCTCTCCAAGTTAAAAGGGTAATCCAGACATGGACCCATTGCTCATGTTGCCTGGAAGGGTATCAGCCAAACCTCATTGACAAGACATAACAAGGTTGAAACAATCATCTGGGGTTGCTGTAACAAGGTCGAAACAATCGTCTGGGGTTGCTGTAACAAGGTTGAAATGATCGTCTGGGGTTGCTGTATCTCGTGCCGAGAGAGTCCGCCTGCATTTCAGATCTGGACTGCCCTTTTGGGTGGGATCAGTCTGATATGAAAATAGGCTCTCTTTGTAATTGCACAAGATGAACTAAAACCAGCTTGGGCTCTGAGCGGGGACGCACCAAAGGGAAAGTTAATTGAGCTGTTGTCCATTCTCAGAATTCTCTGGCACCCTATTTTTTTGCTGTAATTCAGCCTAGTAACAGTAAATATTTATCTTCTACTGCCTACTTTCTCCTTGTTTCTTCATCCACGGACCACCCTACCATTGCCCTCCTTATAGTCCTACCTTAATATTCCACACTTTGACCATATTCCCACTGTGACCGTTGACATTCTTCCCACTATTTGCCTGTATATTAGACATTATTTGCAGCTACTATTACAGGATATCTTCACCAAAAATAGTTATTACTCAATATGGGTACATTTACAACTACTTTCAATTTTATAATCAATGTAGATAACTGACCATTTGTCAATTTTACATTATTGTTAAAGAATACGTCTTTGCACATCTTGAAATAATTTTGGTGCAAAATCAGAAAGCATTTCATACACAATAAATATATACAGAAGACATTCAATATGCCTTCACACGCATCTGGAGCCAGTATGGATTAATTCAGAGAGGGTTTATTTCAAAGCTAATTTGGATCAATTCACTGTTTGTTTTGTTCAGTGTGCATGATAGTAAACTGACTGCATTTCATATGAATGTGGGCCTCCAAATTGCCCTGAATTGCTCCAAATGAATCTTTGCTGCCGCAATATTGAACTCTAGTAAATAATCCACTTTGTGTTCATGGGAAGGACTTAAAACAACTGTATAGGTTAGTTTATGTCTGTGAAAATTGTTTGTCATACCCTTTAATGAACATATTTTTAATGAATACGTCCAGATTTGTTGTTGCTTAGTTAAAAAAAAGATTGGCGTTCTTTCCAACTAATAAACACCTACTGCTCTATAAGAATTCTAATTACATATTATTACTATATATATAATATGTGTTTATTAGTTGAACTCATTTGTATATGCCCACCCATAATCCCTTGCAGTAGTAACAGCACTGTAAATGTGAGATTTATTTGGGAAGAACAAGTTTTACAGCCTGTTTGGTGTGTGCAGGTCTGTGTTCAACAATTTATTTACTATATACACTGAATAAAATGTTAAACGCAACACTTTTGTTTTTGCCCCCATTTTTCATAAACTGAACTCAAAGATCTAAGACTTTTTCTATGTACACAAAAAGGCCTATTTCTCTAAAATATTGTTCACAAATCTGTCTAAATCTGTGTTAGTCAGCACTTCTCCATTGCCAAGATAATCCATCCACCTCACAGGTGTGGCATATCAAGATGCTGATTAGACAGCATGATTATTGCACAGGTGTGCCTTTTCATCACACATCACAATGCCACAGATGTCGCAAGTTTTGAGGGAGCGTGCAATTGGCATGCTAAATGCAGGAATGTCCACCAGAGCTGTTGCCTGTTAATTGAATGTTGATTTCTCTACCATAAGCCGTCTCCAAAGGCGTTTCAGAGAATTTGGCAGTACATCCAACCTGCCTCACAAACGTAGACAACGTGTAACCACACCAGCCCAGGATCTCCACATCCAGCATCTTCACCTCCAAGATCGTCTGAGACCAACCATCCGGACAGCTGCTGCAACAATCGGTTTGCATAACCAAAGAATTTCTGCACAAACTCATGGGATCTCAACCTGACTGCAGTACGTCATCGTAATCAACTTAAGTGGGCAAATGCTCACATTCGATGGCATCTGGCACTTTGGAGAGGTGTTCTCTTCACAGATCAATCCCGGTTTTCACTGTACAGGGCAGATGGCGTTGTGTGGGTGAGTGGTTTGCTGATGTCAACGTTGTGGATCGAGTGGTCCATGGTGGCGGTGTGCTTATGGTATGGGCAGGCGTATGTTATGGACAACAAACACAGGTGCATTTTATTGATGGGATTTTGAATGCACAGAGATACCGTGACGAGATCCTGAGGCCCATTGTTGTACCATTTATCAACAACCATCACCTCAAGTTGCAGCATGATAATGCATGACCCCATGTTGCAAGGATCTGTACACAATTCCTGGAAGCTGAAAACATCCCAGTTCTTGCACGGCGAGCATACTCACCAGACATGTCACCCATTGAGCATGTTTGGGATGCTCTGGATCGGCATATATGACAGTGGCATATATGACAGGTCCTGACAATATCTAGCAACTTCGCACATCCATTGAAGAGAAGTGACAAACATTGCACTGCATGAGGCAAATGGTAGTCACACCAGCTACTGATTGTTTTTTGGACCCCCCAATACAGTAAAACTGCACATTTTAGAGTGATCTTTTATTGTGGCCCACCTAAGGCAAACCTGTGCAACAATCCTGCTGTCTAATCAGCATCTTGATATGCCACACCGGTGAGGTGGTGGGTTATCTCGGCAAATGAGAAGTGCTCACTAACACAGATTTAGACAGATTTGTGAACAATATTTTAGAGAAATAGGCCTTTTTGTGTACATAGAAACAGTCTTAGATCTTTGAGTTCATCTCATGAAAAATGGGGGGAAAAACTAAAGTGTTGCATTTATAAATTTGTTCAGTATATATATATATATATATATATATATATATAAATATCCTGAATAAACAAAATAGGCAATGCAAAAATATCAATTGGAGTCCAATAGGCAAGTAGTAATATGGTAAGTAGATTTTTTGAGAGACTCTGCCTTCTTCAGTATTCCTTATCATTGACCCCATGTCCTGCTTAATTTTGCGACCCATGTCTTACAAGCATTTTCCAATTATTAGAAGAGGACAACCCTGAGAACAGGCCACTTGTGTTGGCAGGATATGTTGTTATTATTTTTAGATATTTATGTAGATCAAATTTCTCTGTTTAAAACACAAAAGGTAACCCTAGACAAAATCCAACAACCATACAGACGGCTGGAGAATTTTCAAATTTGGCTATTTCGGCCTACAAATTACAATTCTTTGGTAGATTCCTGAGAACTACTGAATTTGTGAATGTATATACCTTATAGGGTCAAAATTTTCTACGGGATATGTGGCGAAACGACCTCGCCACTGGGCATTGGAGAAGACTGATTGCCAGCCTCCTGCCATGTGACTATGGCCCCTGGAATGTATTGCCCTTTAAAGACATGATTTGGGAATAAGGGATTTGTGCTGTGCTGCTGCTGGCCCTTTAAGAACCATCTGAGGACATACTGTGGAGTTACTGGGTGGCCACCATTTCCTGTATCAGAGGCACATGGTGAGAACAATGGATGAAGCACATGGTGAGAACAATGGATGGCGGCCATTTTAACTCACAGACACTGTTTGGACTTTTCAACACAGTGCCATCTTGCCAGTATTTGGTGCACAGAGACATTGTGCAGTGGTTTTGGACTATACAGCAGGGGACACATTATACAGTGATTGTTTTTCATTTAGCCTGTATATGTTCTGCAGAATCTGCATTAAACTGTATCTTCCAAAGTACTGAACGGATCTGGGTGAATTTTGGATATGTGGTTCATCCAGATCCCCCGGTTCCAAGGATATACTTTATGGGGTTATTGCATGTTTTGGGGTCCCTGTGATGTGTTTTAGGAAACTGTATTTCTCTGTCTGTGATAATTAGATTACCCATTGTGTAAGGTAATTGTACTACAGGCAGAGGGGAGGATTTTGTGTGGGAGTGTCTGTGTGTATTGTACAGATTGATTGGTTGTTCTGTAAAACCCTGTGGGCAGTACTAAGTTTGTGGATTGGGAATAAAAGAGGCTGTCTGTGCCAGTCCAGTCAGTTCCTGCTTAACCCTCAAAGTGAAGTGTCGTCTCATTATTGGGGGAAGGATTTATTGTATGCTGTTCCAGTTTGACTGCTAGGAGAGTAAACCTATTCGTATGGTTCCTATTCAACTGTCTACAGCATTCATATGCTCCTACGGTTTGGTGGTTTTGGTGTCTGCTGCAGTGCTTGGAGTGCTCAGGAAGTGCTAGGAGCATCCTTCAACGGAGGTACCCAGTCGGGGTGCCAGGTGATCCGTTACAGGATACATCTCATACATTTTTTAATACAAATGTAAAATGTTAACATTATTTTATTATTTTACTATTTTTATATATCCAAAACTGGAGTTACCTTAAATTGCCATGTATATTTTGTACACATTTTGATCCTGAAGTGTGAAGAATGTCCTTATCTTATTTCTTGGGAAAATAACTCATGCAAAACAGCTTTATTATTGGGTGAACGGGCAATACTTCTCCTCTAGCTTAATATTTTACAGCTTAGAACATACTTGGAGAAATAGCTGGTGCACCTAAAGGCTTTGCTAGTTTTTTGGGCCCTTGAAGGACTGAAATCTTTATTCCAACTATTTGCAATAAACCATTATTTTGAGGTTTGATTGTCTCATAGAGTGTAGCTTAGTTTTTATCTTCAAATTTTGTAAGATTATATACTAGGTCCGGTGCTTAAAGTGGGTGCATTTGATATCAGTCAATCTTTAGGAAGTTTTGTGAAAGTAGGAAATATTTAAAATTGTTGGCTTCAATTCTTGGTAGCCAGGTTTGGCAAAGACCAGAAAGGTCAAAATCTTTCTGGGTTTATCTTTGGTCACCTTGAAAGATTGATGTTTACAATTTTCTTTCTGAAATTTTGAGGGTCAAGATATTAGGACTATGCACTGGGTACAACTGTCCAAAGACTGTAGAGTTCTGGTTCAGAATTGAATATGCCAGGTTCAGACCAAAGTAAAAAAAAGTGTGTAATTGATAGGATATTTAGGGATTCTGCTAGTGTACCTGCAATAGAGGATAAAACATAGTGCAAATATTGTTTTATACTTTAAAATAATATAATGATTTATATGCACTCACAAATTCCAAATTGGTAAAGCGTATTATGGGTGCCTCCCCACGATGTGGATGTTTTTTTTTTGTTAAATATCCCTCCTCGAGTGATAGCCAATGAGGTATCAGGGTCAGCAAGATGGTCCAACAGACTCCAACCAGATGAATACTTCAAAGGCAATTTATTCACTTCATAAAATCAGGAGGTGTACAAATAAAGCGAAAAAAACAAATATAAGAGAATCGCTGGTCCTACGCGTTTCGTCCTTATGCAAAAGGACTTCCTCAGGGACCTCTTTCAATAAAAACAACAATCAAATGTACAGAAACTAACAAGGCATCCTTATATAGGGCTAATCCATTCAAGTCATTGGTGGAATAGTGGGTGTCTTCCCTCTTCTAGACTTCTATTCGTCCGGTATTTTTCTCCAGGTGTAGTTGCTTTACCAAAAATGTCGGATTCCATCCGCATTGAGCCACTTCCGCATACGTCACGCTTTCCGTTTTTCATCACGTGACCAGTGTGCGTTCCACACTCGAAAAATAACATGGCCGTGCGTTCCACATCATAATATTAACAATTGTAACCTGGAGACCACTATTCTTGCACACAGTGGTTATACCCGGAAAGCTAAACGAGAGGGCTGTTAAATATTATATACAAGAGCAATAATAATGATATATCCTCAATAGTTCATCACTAACTGAATTCTTTTTAGATTGAATGCAACAACTTCCTATCCAAGTTGAACATTTTGAAAATGTTTTTTTTTTTTTTTTTCCTTTTCCAAAGTAAAAAAAAAACCTGTCAATCTATGGTTAATGTAATGAAGAACAGATTAAAGTAGATATATCTTAGGTCTTTTTGCTGCTCATTTTTTTTTTTTTTGTAGATAGTTACACCTGTACATGGTTTGTGTATGATGTAAAACTGAGAGCACTGCTATTTTAAGATTTCCTGGTGTTTCAGCATATGGTTTAAATTTTAAATTAATTTCTTGGCAGGTTCCAAGTAAGTCAATAGAGTAGAGAGTTAAATGGCAGGGGGTAAATGTACCTAAAAAGTCTCTTTTAACTTCTGAATAAAATGGTAATATTTTGAAAACAACATTTAACACGATATGAATTTTTAATTAACAATTAGATTTAATGGAGAACACGAAAAGGACTTTGACACTTCCTAAATAATCACTGAGTTAATTAACATTCTGACCCAGTCTAGTATGCCTTCATATAGAATACACATAAGGTTATATAGCTCCAATATTTACCTAAAAATAACTTATAAATATGACATTATATAGATATAAATATATAAAAGGAAAAATAGGATGCACTCTCAGGTCTTGTAAATAGAACAACTGGTGCTTTAATATTGATCAAAATTCTATATTAGCTGTGCAAAAATCAATCGACGTTTCGACCCATTCGGGTTTTTTTCGAGATATGTATATAGTGCAACAATTTGAGAATGAATTGTATTATGACAAAAACAAAAACATGTCAGTGGTTATTGTGTAGACTGGTTAAACCACAAATGACATTATTTTTTTTTCACTTTCATTATATTTTTAGCCTTGGGGTAATTGGATCACATGTCCAATGCTTAGACACAAGCCTGCTATCATTGTTCTGAATGATCACGTGGAGACCAAGCGCAAACATTAAATGAGCCACTAACTAAATCCCGAACACCAGGCACAATTGCAATCTAGACTGGGGGATTGATTTACTAAACTGTGAGTCATCAAGTTGCAAAATGTAGGCCAGAATAGTTAGGATGGAAACATTATGTAAATGTTCAGCGGTTTTAACGCTGCTGTATTGGTCTTAAATTTACATCATAGTTCTGTTTACTGAATAAATCATTAAAGGGTTTTGTTTATGAAATGTAGGATTAGGATAACTTGATCATATATGGCTCCGCAAGCCTTTGTTTTCTATAATCTAAACAAATTACTCAGCCCATGGACATGTTTAACAAATAAGAAATAAATAAGAGAGAGACTGTAGCTTTGCGTACCCTAAGGCATTTTGGGCCACAAACATTGCTCTGCAATGGATCCTTCTCCGCCCTTTCAAAATAAAGAATATTTATAATATTTATATTAAAAAAACAACGGGAGGTAATAAGCCTAAGATCGTGTTTATCAATGTCCTGTAGAGCCAGAGGTCTACAAACATTTCAAGGAAGAAGTTCCAGAATCTGTACTCAAGCAGCAGTAAGGACAATCAGTATGAGAGCACCCAACTGTGCTTAAGCAAATATATTCTTAAACTATGACCCATTTGTAATGTATCAGGGTAGATGGAATTATCCGTGAAATAAAACCAGATGACCATAAAAGGGGCATTGAATAGGACTTGTCAAGACAAATTCAAAATGGAAATGTATTCTCATAACTAGATATACACATTTGAAGTTCTAGGTCATCAACAGTGTAAACATACTTACTACAAGAAATTAAAATAATATGGGAAGTGTTTCCTCCACATGTTGATATATTGTGAACTGCAATTACAAAATGTTAATTTGACACCTAGCGGAAAACAATATATGAGTAAATCAAAAGTTTGAGAAAACAGTGATTATGAGATTAATTAGAAAATGTTGTGTTTTTAACAGTGATTGTTTAAAAGATTAGAAAACATGTTAATATTTTGTCTATTTTTTTTTTTAACTGTCACTATGAATCAGTTAGTGATATAACCATTAGAGAAAGGGTTTTAAAGATAGGAATTTTAGGACATTCTGTAGACAACTGTTCTAGGTATCACACAGACAGTGAAATAAATAGGATAATAATTTAAATAAATAGTATTCTCATTTGTCAATACTTAAGACATGCAAAGTGGGTTAGATATATTTAAAATTAAAAGAGTTCATTTTTTTAAGAGGAAGATTCGTGTGATACTTTGCATAGTTTTACAATAGTTTAACAATTAGGCTTGTTTCTCAGGTTCATCTTAAGCACAAAAATGAGTGGGTATTAATGTTCAAAGTGAGAATAAGAGGCGAGCTAGACAAAGAAAAATAGGATTGCAGTCACTGTTCAATTCATTCACATTGTGATCATATCAACATTCTGTGCACTAAATAAAAAGAACCCAGAGATAATTTGTATAAAGATGTGAATGGTGTCTACAGATTGGTGCCTACAGGAAAAAAAGTCAAATCTACAGGCACCTTGCATGACTAATAGTCCATCAGGAGATGGCATAAAGATTGAGAGAGGTGAGGGGTAATACATAAATAGGTGGATAAGGGGATAGTGACAGCTGCTGTAACAGGTAGACAGGATTAATGAGATGGGTAAATAATGACATACAGTATGGGGAAGTGATAAGTAATGAGGTTGTGAAATGAGGTTTTCATAGAGGACAAGATGGAAAAATTACAAGAGGAGATGAGATTTAGAGAGGAAAATATGAGTGGGAGTTTAACCTCTTCCTGTGAGTCTGCAGTGGCAGTAGTAGGGTATAAAGAGAGAAACACACACACACAAGCACGCACACACACACAAGCACGCACGCACACACGTACTAGAGAGTATTTTAAAATATTATCAAAAAATGAAAATAAAATGGCAATGAGTGTATTTTTGTATATGTTTAGTAAAAGCAATTTCTAATTATACAGCAATTAGGTGATAGGTGATATTGTACCCTAATTGTAACAATGCAATGATTTGTGGACCCAGGACATACTTGAAAACGAGAGAAATCTCAATGCATCTTTCCTGGTAAAATATTTTATAAATAAATAAATATCTGTTTATGGTAATGGCAGTTTGATTTCCCAACTAAATCTTAAACTAGATGCTTCACTGTAGCAAATTCTGATACAATGTGAGCAGAATTATTCCATTAAACCTTCTATGTACTGGCTGCAGGTTATTTTTTAACACTGGGTTTGTATGCACATCTTCTTTAGAGAGTTCTGTGATAAGTGTATGGTTCTTTGGTTCATAACAAATAGCTTGATACATTCACAGGAATGTGATCTACATCCGGTTACCTAAACTGTAGAGGTCAACATTCTGGAAATACAGGAGACCACATCTCATACAAACTATGTATTGGAAGACATTCAATATCCTATTATCCATGTATGTATCTATATATGTATATAGGAATGGATTGCCCTTAGGCTTACCTGAAGTATATTATGAAACGATTGCTGTTGAATTATTTATTTTTTTAATTTTATTAATTTTCTTAAATAATATTTATAAACGTATTGATTTCTTCGGTGGGATTCACACTGTGAGAGCAGGATCAGATCAATGTTATTTTGAGATTAACCAATGAATTTCAATAACAAGAGACAAATATATATATATATATATATATATATATATATATATATATATATATATATATATATATATATATATTTAGTACTTTTCAATATTATTTTATTCGAGAAACCATGTATTCATGGGATTTGCCAGTAGACTGTAATATGATAACTTTGGGTATGCAAAACAATTAAAATTGTCTTCATAAAATGCAATTACAACGCAACAACAGAAAAATGGTGTTAAAATAATTGTAGGTGAGCTATAGACTCAGCAAATAAATAAATAAATGCATAAAAAATAATCCCTGCTGCAGAATGTTGGTGAGGTTCTCATGATGTGCATGTTATAGTACATTCACAGCCTCCCAGCTCTGTTTGTTTGTTTATGTGAAGAAATGGGAGGGGAATCCCGACTTTAACATGTCTATATCTTCAGTATAATTGAATCGGATGTTTGCTAATAATTACACAGCTAACACATCTGACTGGGATGCTGTGGGACGCCTTGTTCCTGAAGCATCTCATTTGCTAAATGTATTTCATAAACTGATTTCAGAAAACAAGATGCATTTGTGAGAAAAAACAAAAAAACAAACCACAACAACAACAAAAACCCACTTCACTTTCATTCCTTGACCTGAACAATGTATCCTTAACGTTTTTAAACCTCCTGTTAACCCCTTCCGTGCCAGGGGCAAAACACTGTTAACACAAATATATGAAAGTGTGCATTCAAATGGGGGATTATTTGCAAATATGATTTAAATAGATCTAGATGTGTTGACTCATCACCCACACAACCAGGATATTTTTTACAAATCCCATTCATACTCTGTGACTGAATATATATATATATATATATATATATATAATATGTATAATCTTATAAAATAATATAATATACACCTACTTCTATAACTATCTATCCATAGATATAGATAGATATAGGGGAATGTGTATATATATATGTATATATTTGGTACCCATGTGTATATTTTGCAGTTTCATGAACCTACTGTGCAATATGAATTTCAGAATAAAGCTTTTATTAGGGGTATGTTTGTGTAATTGTGTATATACACAAATATGTCTTGTTTACATTATTTTTAAAATTAGAATGCCAATTAGAATACTTAAACAGTGTTCTCTGACCATTTAATTATACCCAAGTATTCAAGAAAGTATACATTCAAAATTACCCATAATATAAAGGAAAACTTAATTGTATATGTGTTTGTTAATATATATATATGGATATATATATGTGTATATATATATGAGAGAGATATAGTTTTTCGAAAATTAAATATATATATATTTGTTTGTATATCTAATTTTCTATCCATTCTATATACTGTTCGACTCGCGAAACAGAAATAGTTTAAAGTGATTTTTTTTTAAAAAGCTCCGTCTTAACAAATAGCTTGAATGCGTTCAACCGATGACTGAATATGTGCATGACTTAACTATAAATATATTCACATCTATTTATCTATTTGTCCTTTATCCTCCCTTATGCTTTCTGTGCGTTCCTTCATGACAAGTGCCATCCCCAAACTGTCCCCCAAAAATGGCATTAATAAAAAAAATTAGATAAAAAATAAACAAAAATAAAAGACACATTAAATCCATACACAACTCCAACTGCAATGCTAATATTTTTTAATGCATTTTTAATTGATACAATTCATAAATATGCATTCAATTTCAAAAGTGATACATTTTTGTATACGAAATATAATTATATTTTTTTCATATTCTGTTTTTCATAAAAAAAAGAATAATAATAAATAAAAAAAATACACACACACACACACACACTCTCTCTCTCTCTCTCTCTCTCTCTCTCTCTCTCTCTCTCTCTCTCTCTCTCTCTCCCTATAGAAATGATATTAAAAGGAACCCAAACACCTTTCAGTAAGTGAAGAGGTAAGGGGCGTTGAAGTTTGTGTGGGTGCTTGCCTTGGTGACAGTCACAAAGACTGTCAAACACAATATACAATGTATCTTTGACAACATGATGGAACAGAAGTCTTATTACAGTATCTCACTCCTCAACAATTCTCACTCATATTCCTCCCATCTTTTTTTTACACCTGGGGTTTGCTCACTTAACAGTGACTTGTACTAAGGTGCCAACTGACTTCTTAAAATCAAGCCAACGGTGCAATCGTGATAAAACGTCACAGCCAGATGTGAGATGTGTTTTGCCACTCAGATATTTGAATCTAAAATTTCAAATCGGTTGCTATATCATCTCAACTCGCTACTAAGTGAATAAGTCTCTTCTCCCCTCCACCCTCCCTCCCCTTCTCAAAATGTGCCCTCTTCCCAGTGTCTCTCGCTATTTCTGGAGCAGGTGAAATGAATTGAGTTGTCACACACTAAACGCTATGCAGATGTGGATTTAAACACAGGGCAACAACGTGTTTACTGCATACAAGTCTCTGTTTGCAAAGTGACTGAATTAACTCGACTGTCCTAATCTCTTTAGCTGGCCACTTGTTCATGGGTCACAGATTAACCCCTTCCTGGGTCCTCTGGTCTTACAGTTAACCCTTTCACTGCCAGGCCAGGGTTGCCCAAAGGTTCTGGCACATAACAGGTTAATTGCTGCTCTTGACATTATAGTCTTATATAGCACAAAGTTCTACCAGTGGAGGCAACAGGTTGGATCCCCAGAGCTTCTCATTGAGACATAATGTCCCTATTAACAAGACCTGCTGTTCATTTTATTTAATTCCACGACTGTTTTTCTGCCAACATGATTCTTGCACCCTTGTCATCCCAGTTTTATTGCGGAATAATATAACAGAGGAGAGGTTCTAGAAGGAAATAGCAGTGATATTAACAATAACATGCACGCCCTTTATGTGAGGCTGGGATATAAAAAAAAAACCTTGCAGATACTGAAAATAGGGTCAGTGTGTGCCCATTCACAAGGGATTTTTCCCATAGGCACAGCGTGGGACAATTCCTTAGGCTGAAAAGAGCTTGAAGCATAAACTAAGCAGAACACCTTTAAGAAATGAAGAATACTATTTTATCCAGTCATTTCTCCCTGATCAGTCTCTTTAACACTGGATCTGCTCAGAGTACCAATGTGTTAGTCTTTATTCAAGCAATTAGATTTGTGATGTCCATTGTCAGACAGTGTGATGTATGTCCACAGTATAATATTGACATGTTCCATAAAAACACATTTATTAAACACTGCAGAATATCCCAAATACTACAACTATTGTTGCAAAGAAAAAAAAAATACCTCCAGCCCCCAAAAAAATAGTACAATAAAAAAAAATATATATACATATAAAAAAACAATATATATATAATAGATCATACCATAAAAAAAATATAAAAAATGTTTCTCACTGTTCAATAAAACCAACACCTATGTATATATTAATGCCTTTGAATTTTTTTTTTAAATTTGTTGTAAGGTGTGTATTTTTTTATTTTTTTTATTTGCAATATGCTTATTTATTTTCTATTTTGCTTTGTTACACTAATCCCTAAATCGCAATTAAAGTAAAGTTCATAAACTCTTTTATTATTTATTTATTTAGCATTTTAGATGCAATAAAAAGGAATAATTGGCATGTTTTTGTTTTTTGTTTCCCAAAGAGGCACAATAATAAAATGGAGTATACAATGTAGTAATATGCTGCATTATTATTATTATTATTATTTTAATTATTATTTTAAATGTATAGAATGGATTGTGTGTGATCCAACACACGGTCTGGTCGAGTAAATGGTTAAATTGATAATTGCTAGAACAGCTGGGCGTTTTTGATATACAGAACACTAAAATGCTATTTTCACATGAAAATAAAATTATGCATCATCATTTTTAAAATTAATAAAAAAAATAAAAATATATATATGCACACAAAAACACAAACTTACACATACAACACATATATAATAAGAGAGTTAGTGTGTGTGTGACAGAGAGAAAAGGTATGGGGAGAGGAGGAATTAAAAATGAAAGAGTGTATCTCATTTTTCTTCTAAGAGAAATGTTTGTTTTAAAAAAGGCTGGCCCTGTAGCTCATAGCAGGAAATATACATCAAAATGTGGATGGTTTATGAGGATTTATTTATTTAACCATTGGACCTTTTGCCTAAAAGGTTTGTATTCGGTTTTCGCTTTTTTTTTTCCCCACAAGCGACGTGTTACTAAATATAATGGCATTATTTCTGCAATTAAATAGATTAGCAGAAGCCTATTCTGTGAAGAGGAAAAACAAGACTTATTATTGTGATCATAATGCTTGGAAAATATTTACTTAGAATCACGTTAAGTCTTTGTTACTTGGAAAGTTGAATTTAAGAGCTGGATTAAATAATGTTATTTTATTATGAAAGCATCAAATTATAATAGTGGAGAAACAACTGCTATATTTTTTTACATAGATCTCGGAAGCATGATAGACAGAATTGATAAAAAAAAAAAAAAATAATAATCTGGGAAGATAGAATAGACACAAAATCAAGTACTGTATTTACTACCTTGTCAAAACACATGCAGGTAGATACAATATATAGGTTGTGTCTACAGCTGGTGTAATTAATATATGATACATATTTTACACAGTGCTGAATATCTTTAGCAGTGGAGATATATACACATTGTTGGCTATGTACACTGACATAGCCCATGGAAGAGGCTATTAAAGAGTGGCTACATTATATCATACACACCAGTGTGCAAGTGGTTATTTGAGTGATATGTTCTTAATGGTGAGAAGAGAAGGGAAACTGTCTTTGATGTCTGTGTATTAAGAGAGGGTGCTAGTAACAAGTCCTTAATGTTTGTGTATAGGGAGTAGCAAAGAAGCAGTTGAAGGAGTTAGAGGTATGTGCCCCTTGTGAATTAGGGGAATTTTTAGGTAGGATATAGACAGACATGTCCACTGCATATAATATCTGTATAGGATATATATACAGATAAACAGATAGATGGAAGATAGACAAATAATATAAGAAAGATCAATTATAGATAGATATATCTATAATATCTATATAAAGATGTAGAGACAGACAGACAGACAGGCAGATAGATAGATAGACAGACAGATAGATAGATAGATAGACAGACAGATAGATAGAGAGATAGACAGAAATATGAAACATAATACAAAAAGAGATGGGTGATAGATGGATAGACAGACAGATGGGTAATACACAGACTGATGGATAGATAAATAATAAGTGAGAGATTATATACATTATTAGATAGGTAGAAAACAGATGATGGATAGATAGAAAATAGATGATAGATGGATAGATGAAAAGATAGATACATGGGTGGATAGATAAAAGGAAATATAGAAAATGGATGCTAGCTTCTGTTTTCCCATCCCCTCCCAAGTTGCTATTTCTTTAAAGAAAATAAAAATTGTCTCATATATATATATATTTATGCATGTATTAGGAGCAAACCTAACTGGTTATTGTATTCTTAATTTAAGGTGACAGACTATTTTAATTCTCCATTGGCTTTCTTGGAGTATATGATAAATATTTAATTTTGGGAAGAGGTAATTCTGTGTGCCAGGCATATGTCACTATCAAGATATTCACCCAATGGACAGAAAGCACCTTATACACACTTTAACAAATGAACAGGGAATGTTTTTGTGTGTGTGTGTGTGTCTTGTCGGTTTAATTAGACTATGTCTCAATGGTCTGTTCTTCAATTTGCCCAGGTTTAGGACCAGCAACCTCCAAGGTCCAGATATCTACAGCTGATGACAGCAAAAGGTGTGACTCTCCAGGGAAACCCATGAATGCATAACCAGCAGAATACACACATTCTTCTACAAGACTGACTGTGCCCTGTGTGGAATGAGAATGGGAGCTAAAGAAGCCCGAGTTGGTTGCCTGGGGTCTAATCAGGAGTTTCTCTCCTCTGGAATAGAAAAACCTTCTTTGTCAAACCTGTTAGTGCTTTTGTTCTGTGAATAAAAGCTAAAGACAACTTGCACAGCCTGAGCTGAGAACTCTGCCTTAAAACCAGACCTTACACTATTCACAGGCTCTTGACAAGGACAAAAAAGGGGAAATTAGGCCTAAAATCTCCCAGGCAGATGTCCAGGGTTAAAACAGGTTATTTGTTAATTGCCTTTGTGTTTTTTAAGGGGAAGGAATTGAATGTTGAACAGGAGACTTGTTAGGAGAAAAAAAAAATTAAGAGAAAAAAAATACACCCCCTTCTTAAAAAAAAAAAAAAAAAAAAAAGTTAGCACTCCACATGCTATGTGATTCATTTCAGAGTGATTCATATTTGTAGCTATTAAAATGGATGAGTTAAATGAAGAACATACTCTGCTCTGTCTGACTAGCAGTGACAAGGGACTGATGAGTGGGACACAATGAATACATGTCTTGCACAGCATGAAAAGCATATAAGATCACACTGCATAGCCATTAATACAGGCTGCTGCACTATTTCTGATAGGCAAATTGCTTTGGAATCTTTGCAAAATAATATTGATTAAAATAAATAAAAACATAAATTCATTAATTAAATACATAAATAAATAAAAAAATATATTTTATTTCTATCTATCTATCTATCATCTATCTATCTCTCTGTCTGTGTGTCTGTCTGACTATCGATAAATAAAAATAAACACTGATAACAGCAAATAAAATAAATCTTATTTTTAGGCATTTGATAAATAAATGAAATAAAATAATTACATTGTGTTTTTTTTAAAATTTGTTTACATTTTAAGGTAATTTAGAAGTTATGAAATGTATACACTTTGTTTACTTACTGTTTGTTGCCATTTATGACAAAACACTGCACACTGAGGCTCTGATATATTATTATAACAGGAAACGTTGCTAAGGTATTTAACACTTTGCATTCTGAATTAGCATTGTTACATTTATGACAGATTACAAAAAAAAAACCCCAACAACTAATTCTACTTGTTTTAGTTGCAAAAAAACCCTGTGTCAGTCACTTTTTTACACATGTAGTGTACACTACAGATAGATGATTATATTTTTTATACAATATCATATTAAGGGGTTAGTTACAAAAATGCCTGTTGTGGTGAAGGAGAAGAACTCTCAGCATTAGAAATTGATGTTTAGTAAATACACCCCAAATTAATAATAAACATCAGAGCAAGATTCCATTAAATATGATCTACAGCCAATTAAAAGGGGTTCACTTTAAATCCTACTGCCCCTTTAATATTCTATATTTAGCACTAGTTTCAGGACACAAACTTGATTTATACACAGCATTTCATTACATAGTTTCATAAACCAAGTGGCTCTAGATGGGTCACAGAGTAAAGTTAGAAATGCTAATGAAAGGATAAACAAAGTCCTAGTTTTGTTTTGGTAAAACCCCCTTTTCCCAAACTCTTAGTGTTTGTGATCATGCCAGCACAGACTAAATCATTAAGACATTTATAAATGAGAAAATTATTCAAGTAAAAGCTAAACATAGATCTAAACAAAACAGTTTTTTAATTAAACTAATTTTTCCATGAGAAATTTTTTTTTATATTTACCAATGTTGATTTGCTTGAGAAAATGACCATATAAATATAAACCAGTTTGATATCATTTTTATAATTGCTGGGTATTATTAATCCTTAGAAGTCCCCTAATTGCCCCGCTGACATGTCCTGTTGCTCTAGAACTATTGTTTTATTTCAACATGTCCACTGATCAAGTACTCATCCAGATAGACAATAAACAAATAGATAAATAAATTAAATAAATAAATATAATGTTTGCTCTTTTTGCAGCAAACTGAATATGCATGCAAATTCTACATTAAACATGGATATTCAGTAAAATGTGAAATGTGGAAAAAAATAAAAATGAAATAATTCTCCCTGGTGTTGTAAAATGTAATAATGATCTTATTAATGATCTTATTAATGATCTTAATAATACATTCAGAGTTACAGTATGATATAATATAATGTATTAGTCTTCCATATGAATATCCAGAACTTTACAGATTAAAAGTATGCTAAAACATTTATCTTAGTAGCAAAATAGTATTCCTAACTGTATTTAGTAAAGATTTTCCTTGTTGTGTACCATGTTTGTCTTCAAATTTTGCTATTGCATAGATATATTTCAGTTGAAATATAGTGAGTATTTGATCTCAGGAAGTCAGGGTTCTTTCGAGCAAAACCGGAAAAAATTAATTAAATTATCCTTTTCCAGAAACATGTTTTTTATTTACTTCCAATTCTAACAGAACCAAAAGATTACAATGCAATGGGGGATAGGAACCTAAAAAAAGTAATATTTTCAGTTTTGCAAGCACACATATCATGTTTTACAATACAGATTCAAATTGAGGTCACAACTTTATATTTACTTTATTATATGGTAAATATAAAATATTAAATCACGGTAATATGTTTTATAAAATGAGTGTATTCACATTTGTGCGTAAAATATATATAAAGGCAGCTAAAGACAAATATCACAAAATAGATTAATTTGTCCAAATTTTGAGAATACCTCCAGATTTTGATTTATTGTTTTAGCTGTCACAGGTCACATATTACAAGGGGGACTTAGTATTTAAAAGCTATTTGTCATATCAAGCTATTTATTTCCTTTTTTATGTCTAATATAACAATGAAGGGGCATTTGGGCCACTTGTGAGGGCACTGACTATGGCAACACTATTTTTCTTACAAGCCTCTGTTGTACTTACAAATATTAATTGAGTGTTAAACATTGAGGGGTACTTAAAGAAAAACTGGAATTTTTCTATAATTTTGCAATAGAAACATTTGCATGTAATATAGCCTAATTTGTTTAGTAATGAACACATGTACGTTAATAACTATTGTAGTGTATCTCCTCATGTAATCTTGCTTAATGTGGACTGTTATATTTAATCCACTTTGATCAGAAACACATTTTATCTGCTAAGACCATGCACATTTTGAAAGACTGAAACCATTACAAGGGGAATGTTTGTATGTTTGATAATTCTTGTGCATGATGGTAAGAATTTTAAATATGCAGTAGATCTTGATTACCTGTACAGTTTTCAGTTGGAAAAGTGTACTCCCGACCAAAGAGAGGTAATGACGACTGCCCTCATAGAACAAGAATGAACCAGTCGATGCACCTGAAGTGAAGGTATTGTGAATTTCAAAACAGACAAAAGCAAGGAGACTAAGCTTGTGCATGGCAAATAAATTCATTTTGTCCAAATTGATTTGTTGTAGCTTTTTTTTATTTGTTTTGGGAAATGTGGATTTTGTCCATGTGACATTTCGGTTTGGACATATATCAATATTATGGATATATTTTGCAGTACACTTTCCGTCCATTTGGTTCACAGATCAAGTTAGAAGAAGTAACCAATAGAGGCAAGGAGTAGGATCAGAAGAAAATAGCTATATTGATATATTTATATATGATAAATGATATATCAATATGTAAATATAAATATTTTTTTCAAAACCTCTGCTTTTTCCCCTCAATTCTTCACTTCTCACTTAATCTGTGAATAAAATCAACATCTAGTGGCTATCTCCTAACCATAAACCATCTTTGTGTCCATCAATCCTCTTTTTTTTTGGTGCCACAGATGAAACTTTGAATCATGAAACAAACAATATAGCTTACAGTCCCTATTTTGTTTGTTTTGTAATTCAGTCATATGGTGATTTTAAGTTACAGAATTGCCCAAAATTTGGACAAATTCGCAATTAGTTTCAAACTGAACATACATGTCTAGAGACTAAAATATATATATATATTTTTATCTTAATCAAAAATGAAAAAGAGTTTTCCTAATAACTGTATAATACTGGGATTTAGGCCTAAGGGGGCTGAAGGGACTGAATGTACTTAGTTACACCTAGTACTTTTTCATTCACAATTGGTGAGCGACAGTCGATATCAGATAGGCTACCCTGCCTAGTCACATACATCCTGTCACTGTTATCCAAAGCTGGATGGCAGCCACCAATGTGAGTGTACAGAAATTTGCTATTTGCATTATCCATCAAAATCCATGCAACCTTGTACATTATTATGGTGGCCGCTGAGTCGCCCAGCTTTGCATGTCAAGAAAGCAATCAGCTGTAGTTATGGTTGCTTAGATTTCCCCTTCAAGGAACAGATTCCAAATGCCCTTGGATTGGATCATTAACGATCAGTGTCTCCTTAGTGATCACTTTTGAACAATGTCTGTCTGTCTGTCTATCTCTCTGTCTGTCTACACATGTAATCTTACTAACCATTGCCTCTCATTGACTAGACCATGTCACCCCTCTCACCCCATATCCAAAAAAAAAAATGATCTATAACTCTTAAGATATTTTTCTGTTTAACACTCTTTATTCAACAACACATTTTTAACATTTGGTTTTATTACAGGGTCAACAATTATAATTAAAGATTATTGTCACGTTAGTGTTGATCGATAATTCTTGTGACGTTTAAGTAAGATGGTTGCTTTCAATGGTGTACAGATGAGGCGAGTTTCTAATATACATAATGGTTATTTTAGACTGTAATCACTAATACATCGGTTTGCTAGATATGCTAAACAGTCTAATAGTGACTTTGGTAGAGTATCAAGTACGACACGTAAACAATTTAGCGACAATAAAGATGAATCATAGCCATGGAGTAATTTCCTGCCTAGAGCAGTGATCAGAATTCTCTGATAAGTCACTGTTAAAGTACACGTCTATAGTGTGCATTAAATTGTCATTTAACATACTGAATGTTTTGTGCTTGTAGTAAAATCTTCCCATGGTATTATGGGTAAAACCATTTACACGTTGCATTAAAACGGTGAATGCACAGGCATACTTGGGCATTCCTTCCATGGTATGTAATTATGTATGTGCCCACACAGTATCCATGCACAAAGCATCATGGGAGTCAAGGTAATTTGCATCCTATGCCAGCCTGTGCCAAAGAATGTTGGGTTGCAATAAAAAAAATCAGGAAAAAATTCCTTTTTTTTAATAAATATAACTTTTAATTATATCGCTATACAGTTGACAGTTTATCTTTACATCTTAAATCTTTAAATCTTTCTCAAGAAACCCAAATCAGGGGACTTTTTCTAATTAGTTTTTATTAGACTCCTGATACACTGAGAAATACAACTTTTAAACTCTTCATAATTTGTAACAGGTACAATACGCAATTATTCTTTATTCTCTTTCTAAGTGAAAGCTATTTAACTGAAGTGGGGATCAACTCAAAATCTTCGTATTTCTGCAAAGCCTAGGATTGGTTTTCAAAATGTCTCATCTGGTGTCAGTTTTACATCAAAATGACATTTGTCAGCTCCACACAAAGCTACTTAGCTAAAAAATAAATCTGTAACAATCCACATTAATCCTTTTACCCCCCCTATTTATATTCACTGACACATTTAGTAATTTGACGAATCCCTCTCCTGAAGATGTTCTAGGTATCGCTTACTGTACAAACAGCAGCCAGCAAGCAGCTGTTCCATGCAATGCTCACTCTCATTCGACTTGCAGAGCTCCAGCAGAGAAATGGCTTGGATTTCAAAATAAATAAGTATTTGAGAAAGTGATCTTTATTTGAAATACAAAAAAAAAAAAGTGTTTCTCTTAAAGATTTCCCTGAATTGTCAATTGAAACCTACAGATAATAGCACTAAACTGAGGGTTGTATGGGCTCTCTTCCTGCAATTACCTACTTAAAAGGTTTGTACACAAAAAGTTACCCTATTTATTAAGTATACAAATATGTGTTCAAAACACATGCGTATCCACATGAGAGTGCACACATTCAAAGAGAATTTCAAATTGTGGTCTAAAATTTGTTAAAGGAACATAATAACATTAGGAATAAAAACATGCTTTGTAGATTCTAAATTAAATTTAAAAATGCGTTAACCTTTTTTTCCGGTCTTGCGCCGCAAGTGGGTGCAGCTGCCCGCTTCATCTCCTGCAAGAGCTGCTTCTTCATCTTCTTGTCCAATCCAAAGCTAATTATAGAGGAGCATTGATGACAAAAAAGTGCAATGCGAGATGAACTCCACACTCGTCATATTGAATTCTCTATGAGAAGCAATGAGAGGAGGTGACGTGTAAGAGCCAAGTCTGACGCAGTGCTCAAAGCAGTTGCAACTACAGGTGTGTTTAGTCTTTCAATGGAAACATTGCTACATCTACTGAACTGCAATGCTTGACATTGTGGGGCACTGAACCTTGACCTCTTCACTGTCCCTGTTAACTAAAACCATAGTTGACTTTTCTTAGTTTGGTTATTTTAGCCTTAAATTTGAAGTTCACTTTGAATTACTAGTTGAACATATGTCTAAATCACCTATTATTCCACCTCTGCTATTTTGAATTAAGCAATACATGTACAAAGGTTTACGTCACCTAATCAGGTCCAACACACATAACAAAATCTGCAATCCCTGACTACAACTAAATATTAGGTTTACATAGGAAGCCACCAAACTGCTCATCACTGGGAAGCATTTTAAGAAGGGTCTGGAAACACAAGCTGTGGAATTAAACAGCTTTTAATAGGAACAAGTTGAAAGATAATTGGGGGAGCAGTTCTTTTTCTGGAACAAATACAATTAAATCCATCCTCTTCTTCTCCAGGAGCTCAGAATGGACTTGAGTCTGTTACAAATATAAAATTTTACTGGTTTTAGACTGCAAATTATAGAATGCAAAGAAAAGTAGGAAAAATAAACATTATAAAAAATGTAAAACATCAGATTAACTTCTAAAATCATACATATACACTACTAATATGTGTTTTATCAGGCAACAAAAACTAGAATGTTGTTTCACTAAAGTGAGATTTGTGGAGATTTTATATAGTTTAGACAAAAATAGTCAGAGTGACATAAGTCTTAGGTCAGAAATAGCTTAACTGATAAAATATCTGGGATGCAAAATGCAATTCCCATGTTGATTCTCGACAATTCTCAGATTTATTTGTAATAACTAAACTGTATAGTCAGTAAATATTCCGGCCTTATTGTAAATTAAATATTCTTATTTACTCCCTCGTTGGTATTTATTTGTCAACTCTCCTGCCCAACTTCAATCAACTTCAAAACAATTTTACCTCAAACTTGGCAAAATTAGTCAATGGTGCTCAATCACAACAAGGATAATATTTAAACTTTTTACCCTGATTTTCATAGTTCTCCTTCTTATGTTTCTGTCAAATATGCCCATCTTCCTGATCTTCTTATACCTAAGACTCTCCACCTATCTTATAAAATATTCCCTTTTCATGTTATGGAATTTTGCTTGGGTTGTCCTATACCTGTTCACCTCATAACCACCTCCGTTTTCTCCCTCCTAATGTATCGTCAAATAACCCTATAAAACAGTGATTCTCAAACCAGTCCTCAAGACCCACCAACAGTCCAGGATTTGTTAGTATCCCCATTGGAATAAAACAGGGAATTACATAAATCTTGGACTGTTGGTGGGCCATGAGGACTGGTTTGAGAACCACTGCTTTAAAAGGAATCCTTTAAAGAATCTTACAAATAATTATCACTCCAACACCAAAATCCCATTGATACAATCACGTCAACGCGTTTTTCATGCTTTGACCTCTACATTCTCCTTTTGGTTATAAGTATTTTTTGCTAAATGTCACACTAAGCATTGCTTTCCCCTTCTGATATATAAGGCATTTGTTGATAATATATAAACAATCAATAAAATGTAGGCAAAACGCGACATCAACATCACAGCATTAAAAGGCAGAATGTCATATCATTTTTTTTAGTCACAAGTTCTGGTATTTCCATAAATCAAGGGTATCCCAGTTTCATTTCAAGTTCCAAATTCTGTGCTAGGCACCAGATAAAGCTAGCAAGAGGTAATAATCGGCTTGAATAAATTCTCATCCTTCTGTCCCCCATCAAGCTATTTCCAGTATGAAATGAGAAACATCATTTTTAAAGTAACACTTTTCCTTTCTGGTTAGGGAAACACATATCATACGAATGTCAATGTGTACGGAGCAGACTTGCACTGTAGCCTTTTTTGGTGTTTGATACATAATACCTTCTGGGCATCAAGAGGTTTAACAGAGAAAATTCCATTCATTAAACATATTTTTATCAGACACTTTTCCAGCTACACATTCCTTTCAAAACATTGTGAGTTTTTTTTACTGGTGCCGTTGGATAGCCATGGAATCTATTCTTGGTTAATTTCCCATAAAGGAAAC